ATAGCTATGCTGTTTTGAAACAGCCAGAATAATGCCTCTATAGAAGGACATCACCAGATGGAGCATATAGAAATAAAATAGACTATATTATTGCCAAAAGGAGATAGAAGTACTCAATTATGGCATCAAAAACATGAGTAGGTGCTGATTGCACCTGACCTAGTTTTCCCAAAGGAGACCCACTGTTAGGAAGGGTGAATGATCTATCCTAGATATGCTGCACTCAGAGCAAGCATTGAGAGAGGGACTGTATTCTTAACTTCCACAGCTAGATGGGAAGAGATCCAGGATTAGAATCACCTAATATAACTCTTCCATTTCTAGTGGCCTGTCTCCTACGGGGCCTCCAGATTCTCAATCCATTTTTCCCCCTTTCAGTCAGTCTTGACTCTTACAGTTTTCTTGGCAAGATTTGGAAGTGGTTTGCAATTGCCTCTTTCCTGGGACAGAGAGTGGCTGATCCAAAGTCATCCAGCTGGTTTTCTGCCTCAGTCAGCATTAGAACTCAGGGTCCGTTCTGTCCTCCCCCCCCCCGTCCCCCGGTTTCTAGCCTGACATTTTAATCCAGAGGTGTCAAACTTGATTTCATTGAGGGCTACATCAGGGTTGTATTTGTCCTAGGCGGATGGGGTGGGCGTGGCCAGGGTGGGTGTGGCCAGCTTGATGTCACTTGTGTTGGGGGCGCCTATGGTGGCCAGAGTACTCTGCCAGAGAAAACAGGTTCCCAAGCTCCGTTTTCAGCTGCGATGGCCTCTGCCAGTGAAAACGGAGATTGTGCAGCTCTCCCAAGCTCCATTTTCACTGGCAGGGGTACTGTGGGCTGCTCCTTCCCTGTTTCCAGGGTGGCCCCATGGGCCAGATCTAAGCACCCCACAGGCCGAATCCAGCCCCCGGCCCTTGAGTTTGACACCCTTGCTTTAATCACTGCACCAAACTACTTCTGTCATAAACTAATTAGTCACCCAGAAAGTAGAAAATCCTTAACTCAGAGAAATGTAACTGGAAAGTCTTATCTCATTTGTATCCCAACAATACTGTACACTCCAAGGGCCAGGTAACTACCATCCGATTGTGCCTAAGTACAATTCTAAAACCTATTCCACTACTATCTGTAAATCTGTTAAGGGTTGCTATAACTGCTTCTTACATGATTAGTTATTTGATTGGCAGAACTGTACATTAATGGATGTTACCATTTCTAATAAGGAAATATGCACATGAATAATTGGAAATATTTTATATCTGCTCATTACTTATCTACCCATCACCGTGTAGAGCCATTTATTTGGTCTTTTCAACTCTTCACTCTCAGCAGTACTAGTAGGACTCCATTCATTGAAAGATGCTGTTATTTTGATCCCAATTTACCTGAGACTCTATTGCATTATTTTTCCATTGTCCTTTCTTCAGCAATGTATCTGATGACATTTCTTAGCCACCTTCTGACACAGTGATGGAGAACATTTTGGCCTCAGTGTGTCAAAAATTCAGAAAAAGCTTAACTTGACTGTGACGGAATGTCACCTCCCCCCAGAGAAACAATTCTCTCTCTCCCCTCCGGTCCATTCTAGGGTGCCCTGCAGTAAATTGCGGTGCTAAGTCTAGACCTGAGTAGAGTACCAGGCCTCAACTTCAGCCTTAGCACCACAACTGCCACTCAAAAAGGCCACTCACGCAAGCCTTAGGGAATGGCACAATTGCCTCTGCAGCACAGCCCTTCCATGCAACTTCTGGAGGCCTCACAAGAGCACCGCCCATTCTCGTGTGGCTTTCACGGCTTCTGAAAATCATGTGAAAATGAGACATGCTTTTGAGACTACTTGTCAGGTATTGGTGAATGCTGGCATATTATTCAAAATGTTGTGGCACATCACTCATCATAGGTTCCCAATCACTGTCCTAACACAGCCCCTATTTCTGTTGATGGAGCAGAAGTCCATTTCTTGCTCGCAGACTGAAACTCTAGCATCACCCTAGACCTCCATGTTTTACCAGCAGTGATTTCCATAGAAAGTCCTAATCTTGGGTGATGACATTATGAAGGTTTTTTAAATTTTATTTTACTTTATTCCTATTTTACTCTTTTTCTATTTTACTTCATGCTTTATACTGTTTTACTCAATTCTCCCCTTTCTTTAGTTTTTATGTCTTAATCTTTTAGGTGTCAGCCGACGTCGTCGGGGCTGTCATCCCGGTGGGAACGGAGGGAGACAGAGTGTGCAGCCCACGTTCCTGCCCGGATATCTTGTCTTGCTGTCACTTGCCTCCTCTTACATACAGACGGTGGAATCCTCTTCCTTCAGCTGTTCACAGGGCTTCTATCTGAGGGCTGATAGGACTGCACTTGCATGGATGAGGTGCTGGCTGCGTTAGCCAGCATTAATGGAGGCTTACCAGACCTATCCCGATCGGAACGGCCCCAACGAACCAGGACTAATTGCACTGAATTACTGGCCGGAGGAAGGCAGCTGGAGCCCTCCAACCAGCACAGGGATTTGGGGTGGAATCTGGGGGAGGAATAGTGCTAGGTTTAAAATGGGAAGGGGAAGCACGATAAGTTTAGAGCTGACAATATTTCACTGTAATTGCACTGGGTGATTATTGGAGTGTGCTGAATTTAGGAAGATAAAACTTTAGAACAACATCCACCCTGTTGTCTGTGATTTATTTTCTTATCCTGATTCGGAACCTGACATTAGGTTTATATGATTGCTATATTGCTTTTGATGTATCTGGTCATTGTTTTTTTACTTCTGATTTTGTTTTGTTTTTTGTTTTTACTTTGCTGGTTATTGCCCATAACTAAATTTGATTAAATTTTCCGCTTTAAAATGAAGTAAGCAGGCAAGAAGTCTAATTGCTGACAAATATTTATGTGATTCTAGAACAAGAGATGTCACAACTTCATTTTCCTAAAAGATCTCCAAAATCATGATCCTAATTATGCATTGCCACTAAGTATCAGTTAATCTAAAACTGATTTACATGCTGAATATGCTGATTTCAAAATGTAAGAATTCTGAGTGACTATAAAATGAAATTGGCCTGGAAAAACATGCATGAAAGAGGAACAAAATCTGAGCAGAACTGCAGTCATTAAGAACGTGGAAATACAAATGACTATATATGTCAAGATGACACCTCTTGCACTTAAAGTCTATGAAAATGTATGCTAAAATATTTATTTCCAGTTATAAACTTGTCATTTTCTCCCATTTATTTTACTCCTCAAATTTCCCATCTGGAAAACAAGAGGAAGGAGAGAAATGATATCTATCTAATAATAGTAAAGGTTTCTTCCATCAATCATGTCCGACTCTAGGGGGCAATGCTCACCTCTGATTCACAGCTGAGGGAGCCAGCATTGTCCAAAGACACTTCCATGGTCATGTGGTTGGCATGACTATATGCTGAAGGCACATGGAATGTTGTTAACCTTTCCACCGAAGTGGTACCTTATCTACTTGCATTTACATGCTTCAAACTGCAAGGTTAGCAGGAACTCGGGCAAGTAACAGAAGCTCATTCTGTCACGTAGTACTTAGGTCTTGAACTGCTGACCTTCTGGTCAACAAGCCCAAGTGTCTTTAACTGCTCTGTCACAACGGCCCCTAAATTTTTAATAGTGACTTCTAATTTAAAATTTGAGCATTCCCATATGAAGACTTTGCTGCAGAATCGGCACACATTTTCCTTAATTCCATATTCTATCTGTGTTGGTTGCTGAGGCTCATTTCTTGCTGTCTTTCCGGCAGTGTATCTTGAAGCATGACAAAATTGATTATTGCAACCTGGCAGAGAACACATTGAAGGTCTCACTGGCACATTCCTTCCAAGGTTTACCAGAAAAATATAATTTACAGTGGGATAAACTTACAAGACATTTTAGGCAGTATTGTTTCTTAGATTTATATCCTGCCTTTTCTTTCTTTCTTTCTTCCAGGTGAAATACGTAGCACAGCCTATTATTTTGTTCTCCAAAATAATAACACTATGAGATAGATTGAGCTGAGAGAATAATTGGCCCAAAGTCACCCAATAAAGTTTTATGACTAAGGATTGACATGAATCTGAGTCTTCCCATTTCTCATCCAACCCTTAACCACTGCTCTAAACTTTCTCCAGAATAGAGTTGTCTCACTTGATTTTTCTCTTAAAGTGCTTAATCATGTTGTGACTTACCTAGATAATAGATAGCTTGTTTGATGATTGTTCTTTGCTAGGACTGATAAGAAATATTGATAAAGCATAATCAGGAGGCAATAAAAATTAATCCTGGTGGAGATGGAAACCTCAGATAAAGACTTGTATATAGTTTTCTAGAAGGGAGTTGGTGTGTTGTTGTATAGGTAGTCTTTGACTAACTATAGTCCATTTAGTGACCGAAGTTACAATGGCACTGAAAAAAGTGACTTATGACACTTATGACAATTGCAACATCCCCATGGTTATGTGATCAAAATTCAGATGCTTGGCAACTGACTCATATTTATGACGGTTGCAGTGTCACAGGGTCAGGTGTTCACCTTTTGTGACCTTCTTAAAGCAAAGTCAATGGGGAAGCCAGATTCACTTAATAACCATGTTACTAATTGAACATCTGCAGTGATTCACTTAACTGTGGCAAGAAAGGTCATAAAATGAGGCAAAACTCACTTAACAAATGTCTCACTAGCAACAGAAATGTTGGGTTCAATTGTGGTTATAAGTCAAGGACATGGTGTCTGATAAGTCTGTCAATGAGAAGCCAGAAAATATTTTGGCTCATCAAATTCAAGATGTTATTTTCAAAGGAGAAATTGGGGATTCAGGACAAATACAGGGATATCTTCAGGGGATGTCAGGATGGATGTCATAAGTGCATTATTAAAGCCCCATCCATTTTCATATTGTCCACAATTTTGAATTATACCTGCAAAAACAAAACAGTTCAATATACTTCTTCACAAATACACCAAAGGCTATTAATGTAGTAATTCCACACACAATGATAACCAAGCTTGAGAATCAATTAAATTTAGTCTTTATTAAACTTCAGAAAGACTGGAGCAAATGTTGATTGATGAGTTGGTTGGTTTTCTATTTTGGCCACTCTATATATTATTTAATGATTTGTTGTTTTTATTTTGTTTTTAATCCTGGTTAGCTACCCAGATTCATGGAACAGAGACTGAATACATTGAATAAACAAATGAAAATAAGTAAAATTGTTCAAATGAAACAATGATTATTTGGTCCTATATGATTCTTCTAAATCTCTCCCTACCAAACATGTTTGTTAAAAACATTATATTGACATGAGTCTTGATACTTATTTACCAATATTTAGGAGAAGCAATTTTGTCCCTGTTGATAGGGATCAGAATTGCTAAGCCATTTTCCATTATAGTTAAAGTGTAGTATTGAACATTATGTGCAATATAATGATTGGGTATTTGGCAATTTTACTAAATTGTATGAATATCTTGTTCTATAATTATTTTATCCCAAATCCCCCACCTTTAAGGCTTCCAGATTTCATAATTCCTAAAAAGTTGTCACTTTAGCCATTCAACATGTTCAACTCATCTAAATTTTGCCTGCAGAAACTTGATTTAATTTAATTTAATTTAATTTAATCTTTCTCATCTCAGAAAAAAATACTTCAGTGTAAAGCTGAATCAGACTCCATTATGGTTATATTATTGTAACCTAAACCTAACAGAACTTATTCTCATAAATCAGTATAAATGAAATTAATAATGCTGCCTTTGAGATTGGCTTTATGTTAAATTTACACTAAAGGTAAAAGGAGGAGTAGATAAATGGAATATTTGCATCGGAAATTCAACTTTGCTTGATGAAAGCAAAGTTCTGTATTTATTTATTAAACAAATTTATATATCCACCCAACTCACACATAGATGATTCCAGGTGGCTTGTAAAATTTAAAATATGAGGCTTATAAGTATTTCTAACTTGTTTTTATTTTGACTCACCTCTTACCCTATATCCCTATGAGGATAGTGATTCAATTTCCTTTCAACTTTTAGAAGTTAAAATCAACGATACTGCAGAAATTTATGTCTATGACAGAGAATATTAATTGGTCTTCTAAATACACAAACACAGGTTGTTAAAAATCCATGTAACCATCACAGATTGTATTTATTTGTCCTTCCATTCTATAGTTTTGATCTTATTTTTTCTTACATTACAGTTTCAGGATTTACCCTTTTTTGCTTATGCAAAACACAAATAGTTATACATATACAAGCACAAATGATAATTAGAGCAACACATACTATGATAACTATTACAGTCACCATATTTATCACACCAGGGGGTCCAAAATTGGGAGCTTCCGAAGTAGAAGTGGCTTTTGTGGTTAGTGGCTTGGTTGGTGTAGATGGAGCAGAGCTAGGATTGGTGGGTGTGGTAGTAGTAATGAGCAATGGAGGAAGAAGTACAACTGCTCTTGCTATATTAGATACTTCTCCAATATTGTTGCTGCCATCACTGGCACGAATGGCAAAGTAAATTGCGGTGCCATTTTCTTTTGTGAAGTTTTCCATCTTATATTGAAATGACTGTTTGATCCCAGCAACATCAGGTTTCAGATCAGATGTGTTCACAGAAGTAGCACTTTCAAAAGTATCTCTTAATTTCACATGATTTTCACTCGCTTTTATTTCGTATTTTTCAGCTGCAAAAAATAAAAATGTTCAAGAAGACAGTAGGACAAATTCTCCACACTACTTGGGAACTGAAATCTTTGTCAATGAAATCTTTGCAAGAAACACATCTCATTTGAATGGAAAGCATCCTATATGCTAAATTAGATTGTATTCACCCAATTTTATCCCATAAGGAAAATTCTATAAAGATTTAAATTTGGGAGCTAGTAACATGTAGTATTTTGTTCCTCCTTTAGCATGATTTCTTCTGCCTAACATAGGAAAGAAAATGTTACCTTTTCCTTTATCATAGTCGTTTCCAGGAGCAGTCCATGACAAAAGGAAATCATCCTCATCATTGAGTTTTACTTCAAGATCAGTGATTCGAGATGGTGGAAAGACATCTGAAGGACTTCCAGAAGTCACTCCTGTCATTACAAAACTACCTCCTGAAGCAATTCTGCTGAATTTTCCAAGGTTTGCTTGCGTATCATTGTCACTAGCTTCTGGTCTTGGTGCATTCATTTTTATTTCACCTATTGTAAAGAAAGAAAGAACGGAAGAAAAAGAAAGAAAGAACGGAAGAAAAAGAAAGAAAGAAAGAAAGAAAGAAAGAAAGAAAGAAAGAAAGAAAGAAAGAAAGAAAGAAAGAGAAAGAAAGAAAGAAAGAAAGAAAGAAAGATCTTTCAGCAGAAACTCCAAACTTTCTCATAATTCTGATGCTTATTTGAGATGTCTACAAAGAAGAATGGCAAATCATTTCCATATTGTTGAAAATATAAATAGATATACATAATCATACCTATTTACTCATCAGGGACTGTGAGATACATTATTTATTAGAAATTGAGATATATAGATATAGATATACAGATAGCTATAGTTATAGTTATTTATTATATTGATTTCATGAAGATCAGTTTGGGTTTTTACCCAAAAGATAATATTACAAATGTATTGAACATTTTGGAATACTTAAAACAAAATACTGAAAAAAGGGTTGCTTTGAACTTTTCAAATGCAGAAAAGGCCTTTGATAACTGGACTTTCCTGTTTAACTTTTGGAAAATAGGGAGTTTGGTGAGAATTTTATTAAATGAGTAAAAATGATTTATACTTTGCTACAGGCACACATAATTTTAAGTGGAAAATTAGCAAAACCTTGTGAAATACAGAAAAGGAGAAGTCAAGGATATCCCTTGTCGCTATTGTTATTCATCTTAGCTTTTGAAGTTTTGAATGGAGACATAAAACAAGATGAAATAACTGCTGGAATGATGATTAAAAGGGAAACACATACATTATGAGGGTTGTCTGATGATTTAGTGATGATGTTTGAAAATTCTTTCAAAGGAGTAGAAATATTAATGGAAAATTAAAGGATTGTGGTGCATTAGTTGAATTTAAAATTAATAATTAGATAATGAACATATCAAAATATCAAAATAAACACAAACAGGAATCTGGAAGAGCAAAAAGAATGAGAACAATGGATTTAAGATTGAGAAAACTGAAATACTTGGATGTTACTATGACTAATATAAATTGTATGTTATTTCAGAATAATTACAGTATGTTAATTAAATTAAGATGGATATGAAAGATGGGAGAAATTACAAGATAAAAATGAATTTACTGCCTAAAATGATGTTTTTGTTTTAGAGAATACCTATTGTGACAACTGCTGTACCATTTCAGCAATGGCAGAAAAATATATCTAGGTTTACATGATAAAAGAAAAAGTCCAGGTTTTTATTATTAAACTTCCACCTTTCCAAGGCTTAAATATAAAATAACAATAGCAATAGCACTTATATACCACTTCAGAGTGCTTTACAGCCCTAAGCAGTTTACAGAGTCAGCATATTGCCCTCAACATCTGGGTCCTCATTTTACCCACCTCAGAAGGATGGAAGGCTGAGTCAACCTTGAGCCAGTGAGATTTGAACTACTGAACTACAGCTAGCAGTCAGCTGAAGTAGCCTGCAGTACTGCACTCTAAGCACTGCGCACCTCAGCTCTATAAAATCATCCAAGCTACAAAGGAAGGAGGAAGATTGGGATTGCTTGAAATTGTACTTGAAGCCCTTCACTCCACAATTATTTTTGCTGGGTATAATTACAGATTGTACGGTTATAGAGACTAAATTGATTTTAAATTTAATAACTGCAGCTAGACTTCTGGTGGCGCAATATTGGAAGAAGGAAGATTTACCTACTATTGAAGAATGGACATTAAAAGTAGAGAATCTGGCAGAAATGGCGAAAATTTCAGCATATTTGAAAGATCATTCACAAGAAAGATATATATCGGAATGGAGAAGATGGATTGATTATATTCAAAACAAATATTGGACTAAAAAGTATCAAATAACTTATGAATGAATAGAAAAATTAAGAGTATGAATATTTAGTTAATTAAAAGGGGAGTTAAAGTGTGAAGGGGGGATGGAATCCTTAGTTAATTAGCTTAGTTTAGCATATGATTGTTAATTGTTATACCCTGTATTTTGTTCTGGGAAGTTCGGGAGGGGGGTGTGGGGGGTAAGGAAGGGAGGGGGGGAGGGGGAAATATTTGTAAAAAATTTTTTTCTTTTTTGTAAAACTCTTTAATAAAAAAAAAAGAAATTGTACTTGAAGCCCACTGGTTTGGATGAAGGAGTGGGTGCTGCTAAGAAATAAGATATTAAAACTAGAATGGCATTCTTTGAATTTTGGATGGCATGGCTTTCTCTGGTGTGATAAAATTAAGATTAATATAGCTTTTAAAATCACTATATTAGAAATGGAAGCCTGCTCTTGATGTTGGCTAGTACTGAGAGTTACAAAATGTTACAAAATGTTATAATATTAAAAACATGAAAGGACATCTTGGGAGAATGGAGCCAGAATTTATAACTACAATATCAACAGAGTCAGTAAGGATGTCTGCTTCTCTGGATAGACTATGTCCAAAAGATGTTAATGAAGGAATGACAGACGTGGAACAAATATTATCTGACAAGACAGAAAAAGTACTAAAGTACAAAAGAAACTGGCTGAAGTTTTAAAAATTAAAAGGAAAATACAAATGATAAACCAAGAAAATGACCTAGAAACTATTTTCTTATGAAAGAGGTTTGTTACAGTCTTGAAGAAAAACTGTGCAATGGAATTAAGAAGAATTTAAGACATATAAAATCTTATGACAATATTTGATTGGATTAAATATTAAGACTGTTAGAAATAAAAGGAAGGAATATAAAATAAGTTTATTTTATCATAATTAAATAGTTGTTTGTTTGTTTTTTGCAAAATATGTCAACCTTTTGTGCACCAAGACTGAAAAAATGATGTTTTATGGATTTGCTTACAGATAAGGTAAGGGATATGAAATGAAGGAATAGCTTTTTGTAAAATTATTTAGTGAAGAGTTACTAAATTTATTTATACTTATTGTAATGAAGCTTGAAATTCACGTCTTTATATATTTATTATATTCTTTCTTCTCTTTCTTTTTTCTTTCCTGCACTTTTTCTTCTTCCTATTCTATTTTTTTCTCTAAGTTTAGTCTGTATTAGTGTCTATTAAGTATCATAATACTTAATACTTTATAAATATTTTTAACACTTAATATTATAATACTTTATAAATAATTAATAATAAAATTATATCTAAAAAAAGAATCATGTAAACCATGATATTCCCTGTAATACTCTACAGAAGTGAAAGTTGTACTTTGAAGGAGCAAGATAAGAAGAGTATTTGAACTTTCATGTTGGAGAATACTGTGGACAAATGGATCAAACAAATCAACTCAGAGTTCTCAAATGATCACACTCAAATTACCCTACTTCAGACTCATTATGCAATGACCTAGTTTTCTAGAGGAGGCTCTAATACTAGGAAAGGTAGAAGTAAAGAGAAGAAGATGACCAAGACCAAGGTCGATGGACTCAGTTATTGTGGTGATGGAAAAATTGAAAGATCTGGTTAGATCTTCATGATAAATCAGGGTGGAGAAAATATATGTGGCTAGTAGGAGCCCAAAACAACTTAATGGCATGTAATTAATAATTCAGTTATACTACATTATTGTTCTTTCCTAGTTTTTACCTTTTTCTACATAGCCTGGGACATATAGAGCGTGATTCCTTAGGCGAGTTTGTTGGCTGGTCCCATCTCTCCCTTGGACATGCACCTTTATGCTGTATCTACCATTTTCTGTGAATGATGTGAAGTATCTTGAGTAGATTCCATCGTTCTTGATAATATCTGCACCTTGAAACAAAAATATTAAAAATTAACATCCAGGATAATATAGAAAAGACACCAAAACTAAGTTGCATCTATCCCTGTTTTCATCAAAGTAAATGTTTAATTCTATGTGTCAGATATAAATGCCTTATTCTCCAATGTGTAAATAGTGTACAGACAGGGTATCAGGGGTTAACTTATACTTCACTTCTTAATGTATTCATAATTCACCACTCCCACATATAGCTCCACCCATTGTATATATAAGGAGCTACCTACACCATTTCCCCTGCTTCTATCTGTGAATATTCAGTGAATATAGAATGCCTAATGTAAATAAAGAATATATAGTTAAATCTTTAACTCTTGTTGATCTTATTGAGTCTGATCCTGAAAATATTGCAACACTATGGTTATTTACATTCAGAACCAAAGAATAGCTGTTATTGGTTTGGAGTTGGTCAAAATGGTTCCACATTTTTTTCCCCAATTCTATAATTCTTGGGTTTTAGATTCTATGCAACAATGGTGTTGGCACAGATTTCCTGAAGCAGTAGGGACCATAGTTTATATATTCCTAAATCTGAGGGATGTTGGGCTCATTCTGAATATTGTTGTGAGCCACTCAAGAGTTCTTTAAGACGAATGCCATAAATTTCAGTTAAAAATACTCAGAATATTTTATAAGTGTTCATGCAAAATAATTGTTGGATATAAGAATGCAGCCAATGATCTTAATGACTAAAGATTTATCAGATTGTAATTTCTCTAAGAGAGATACAGTATCATGCAGATGCTATATGCCGTGCATGATTTTTTTGGTATGTAACATGTCTGTATTCACTCATCATGAGAAATAAATATTCCAAACTTCAAACTAACAGGCATGTATAATCATATTTTTGTTAAGTGTAGATACCTAAGATAATACACATTTTTCAGAAGACTAGCTCTGAAAAGCAATGTTATGCCAATTAAATTGTAGTAATTGTATGGTAAGAAGCAAACATTACCTTAAGTCTCAGTAGAGTAAATTTTTGTACCTTGGTTTGTCCAAATCTGTGCTTTTCTACTGAAATCAATGAATAACGAAGGAGTTCCCAGGACTTGGAATACCATAAGTACCAAAATACTCCTCATTCTCTGGCCTGACTTTTCTGGGCCGAGTGTTGAGTGAGAAATGTTTCTAATAATTACATGCTAATCTTTATATCAAACAAAATAATGATAGAATCTCACAATGTTATAAATAGAATTGTTTCATTTTCTCCTTCAGTTTCTCCCAGACTTCTGCCTACAGTCCCCCCAAATGAATAAAGCCCCCTTTTTCCTAGAAGGTTAAGAGTTGAGGGATTTGACTTTGTGACAAAGTCATGTCAATTTACAGTTAATTATAGTTGAACCTGAATGCTATTTGTCTTTTATAGCAACAGCCATCTGCTAAGATGTCAGACTTGAAGCCTTCTGGTCACAATATAACTTAGAAGTCTTCTCTGCCTAGATGTACCAGATTGACTTAGCTTGTAAGCATAATATTGGGTTTTGTTTAAATATTGAACATTTTCTGCACTCTAAGCAAGAGATTGCTTAGGTCTTTCTTGCTTCTAGCCATTAAAGTTGTATCATTAATAGATTTGAGGTTGTTATTTCTCCCATTAATTTTATTTCAAATTTCTGTTTCTACCAGTTCAGCATTTCTCATGATAAAGCCTACATTTAAGTTGTATAAATAAAGAGACAATGTACAATCTTAGTACAATTGAACCAAATTAATCTAGAAACATTGTCTGACAGTCTAAGTGACTGGCTACCGGTAGTCTTCGATTTACAACAATTCATTTAGTGACTGTTCAAAGTTACAACGGCACTGAAAATGTGACTTATGACTGTTTTTCCACACTTAAGACCATGGTCACATGTTCAAAATTCAGATGCTTGGCAACTGATTCATATTTATGATGGTTGCAGTGTCCCAAAGTCGTGTGATCCGTTTTTGAGACCTTCGGACGAGCAAAGTCAATGGGAAATCCAGATTCATTTAACAACTGTGTTACTAACTTAACAAATGCAATAATTCACTTAACAGCGGTGGAAAGAAAAGTCATAAAATGGGGCAAATCTCACTTAACAAATGCTTCACTTGGCAATATAAATTTAGGGCTCAATTGTAACTTGAGGACTACCTCTATTTATATCTTGGGGAGCAAGTTTTGCTACATCAAGCTAAGAGGAGGTGTGATAAAGCAATACAACATACAACAGAAAGAGAGCAGAGCAGAAGGACAGTGGCCACAAAAAGCTTTCCATAGCTAATCCAAGACAGTTCATTTTCCCTCCAGGCAAGCAACTGGAATGGTGCAAGGAGCTCAATAGACACAATAAAAGTGGCCAAATATGTGTTTGTGATCTAGAAGGCTACCACCATTATCACCAGTATTTATGATCTTAGAGCACAGGTGTCAAACCCGATTGCGTCACGGGCCAGATTGTGACGTATTGTGATATTTTTTGCCTTTGTGGAGCCAGGGTAGGCATGGCCTCTGCAAGTTGTATCTGGTCCATGGGCCACCAGTTTGACAGGCCTGTTAGAGTAACAGTAGTAGGACAATTATCTGAGTCCACGTGAGTAAGTTCCTACTTCTGTAATATTATGTAGCGAGGTCACCTGAAAAATATATAATACAAACATTCTTCCAAGTACACTTACCAGAACCTTTGTCCAAAAGCTCTAGTTCCTCACTTGCAGAATTTGATTCAATTGTGGCTGTAACATTTGCACCAAGCACTGGCAAAAGTCCTTGACTGACTTCTGCATAAATAATTATTGGATTGGGTAAAGCATTTGCATCACTGCTTACATAGGACTTCACAGTTACTGGAGGCTCCTTTAGAGATGCTGCTCGAGACGTTACTGTGATTGATAGCACCTGAGATGTTGAGTGTGTATTATAAAGTGTGTAAATCCAATCTCCTGTCTGCAGATCAAGATTTGGAAGTAAAATATTGTTAAATATTCACTCGGCATGGTCTGAGAGATATCAATGCAGTTTTGATTTCTCTGCATATTGTATTTCTTAAGGATAAATAGGCATTTGTATATGTAGGAGTTTTAGAGTTGGACAGTAGAAGCTCATTCATGAACTCTTGTGAAGTCTTCAATTTTAGTTCTGCAGTTTGCACATATCATTCCATGGCATTTTTGCACATAGTTGTACACACAGAGGTGGGCTGCTGCTGTTTTGGACCAGTTCGCCCGAATCAGTTGTTCCGATTCTGCGGGGTTCATAGAACCAGCAAATCGTACCACCAGCTGGCCCCGCCCTTGTAGGCCGTTTTCGGGCTGTTTTTTAGGCCTTTTTCTGGTCATTTTTCCAGCCAAAATCATCCCAAAACCCACCCTGAACATGCCCTGAAAAATGCCCCAAAACAGGCGTTTTTTCGGGCCACCTTCAGGCCATTTTTTGGGATGTTTTCAGCCATTTTTCGAACAAAAAAAACAGCCTGAAAAACGGCCTGAAAAACGGCTCAAAAAAATCCCCAAAACAGGCCATTTTCCGGGCTGTTTTCCGGCTGGTTTTTGGGGCATTTCAGGTTTTTTTCCCAGCCAAACTTGGCCCAAAAAAAACAGCTGGAAAACAGCCCCCCCAAAAAAGGCCTGAAATTGGCCAGAAAACGGCCCAAGAAAGCTGGCTGCAAGAGGAAGAGAAGCTGGGTGTGCCGGACCCAGACTTGTCCTGGGTCCCCTCATCCCAGAAGCAGCAACCTTGCACTCTTCTCCTCTCTGCCAGCCACCTTCTTCGCATGGGATTGCCCAGCAACAGAGACGGAGAGAGAGAATGGGGAGGTGTTTCTGTGTGCTCCCTTTTCTGTGTGGCACTCTCCCCTCAATGCTAGCAGCCGCCGCTTCCCCCTTCTCCCTCTCCGTCTCTGCTGCTGGGCGATCCCATGCGAAGAAGTCGGCTAGCAGAGAGGGGAGAGTGCGAGGTTGCTGCTTCTGGGATTTGGGGATTTGGGAAGTGTCTGGGTTCAACTTACCCAGCTTCTCTTCCTCTCGCAGCCAGCTTTCCCAGTCTAGCTTGACTCAGTCTCTCTCTCTCTCTCTCACACACACACACACACACATGCACCAGTGGTGGGTTGCCCCCGGTTCGCACCAGTTCTATAGAACCAGTAGTAAAACTGGCGGGAGGCTCTCCCCACTGACCCTGACGTCATTAAAATGCTTCTGCGCATGTGCAGAAGAGCGTGCACATTAAGCAAGAACGCGCGTGGCCCCATTGCTAACTGGTAGTAAAGGTAAGTAGAACCCACCCCTGACATGCACACATGCACAACCACAGGTTGGATCTTTCTTTCCTCCCGCTCCTGCACTGGAGACCCCTGGATTCCCTCCCCAGCCCTGCCTGTCCCATACAGGTGCCACCCACACAAGTGACGTAGAGTTGGCCATGCCCACTCAGTCACATGAGCCCACCCACCCATGCCCACCCACCCAGTCATTAGGACGAGAACCAGTTGTTAAAAAATTTGGAGCCCACCATGGTGTACACATATTGGCTCTCATATGAACTTGTAAGCTTGTAGCTTACTCCTAACTTGTTGGTCAGGCAACATATCTGTTTCTTTAAGAAACAACTGAGCCACGTAATCAGGGTTTGCTGAACCCTGTAATTAGGCTACAGTGCATAAATAAGCAGCAGAGAAGCATTCTTTCTTCCCGAGTGTTCCTGAATGATCCTGTTGCTTCCTGCGTCTTTCTGCTGAATTGTTATATGGTACTGTATACCAAGAGTTACTAAAGTCTGTTTGCTTTGGTAAGGGAAGATACTTACTGGACTGATATTACTGTTTATGACCTTGGACTGTTTTACCTACACCGAGACTGCTTCTTATCTTGTATATAAAGTATTTTTCTCACACGAGCTGTACGTTTATCTCCTTCCCTGTGTGTTTCTGCTCTGCTCGTTGCATAAGCAACAAATACTTTTTACACACACCCTAATAAAGGTCCCATAATTTCATGATTGTGTCTCACATGGAAGAATGTATGTGTGAAAGATTTAATTATGGTGCAACTGCTTGGAATTAACTATATCAGTGGTCACCAACCCCCGGTCTGCGGACCGGTGCCGGGCCGTGGAGTACCTGGCACCGGGCCACGCAGCGGCCGGGGGACATGAACGCTGCAGCGCACGGCCCAGGAGCCTTTGCGCTGCAGCGTTCATGTCCCCCGGCCACTTTTGCGCACTGGGCCGTGCGCAAAAGCTCCTGGGCCGTGCCCTCACCCCTGCGCGCGCTCAGCGGGCCGCGGCGATAAAAAGGTTGGGGACCACTGAACTATATCATTAATATCAATGTATCATTTGAAGAATGTCCATAGGAGAGGAGGCTTTTTTGTCAGAACACTATGCTTAATGAAATGCCATCATAGGGCTACACAAGAGTGCCCATATGATAACTCCCTTTAAGAAAATCTTCACCAATCCAATGTCTTCCATGTACGGCAATTGCATTATCCCAAAATTCCAGTGAACATAGTTAAATATGATTTCAGTTTTATGCTACAGTGGAAATATGTTGCTAGTCCAGTATGACTTCTCCCACCTGCCAAAATGGAATGAATGGGCAAATTAATGGCAGCAGCTAACTGTTGCAGCAAAGAAAAAAATGTAACATCAGGCCACTCCTTTTAGAGACTTGGTTATTTCTGTGTCTCATCTACCTATCTTGTAGGAACTTCAGCAGATAAAGTAATTGTACTAATTTAGCTTAAGGTATTCCAAACTTTATTAGTATATCGCTTGCACCTCTGAAGTAGACCTGTCTATGGGCTAAAAAGAACGTTAAAATTATAACTTTAATGATAATACAACTTCCTTAGTTGAGAGAAAGCTGAGATATTTTACCTTGGCAGTCCCAGGAATCTGAAGTCGAGCAGTTTTGAGATTGGTGTTGTCAACTACAAAATCGTTAGGATTATATGTTTTCCCTTTTGGATCCGTCAGAAGAATTCCAGGTTTAGAATAGGCTTCACTCCAGGTAATTACAAAAAAGGTGTCATTTCCTACAGTGTGATCGATGGATACAATACCATTAAGAAAATTGCCGGCATCAACTTTCTGACTTTTACTTTCAAGCTATAAGTAAAGAGAAGAGAAAATTATAATATAGCAAGAAAATACTGTGATTGTAATCAAATGTTTTTAATTAATTTGGGAGTATCTCATCTAAGGTAAACTTCATAGTTAAGAACATGGAGTACAAAGCTATATAAGGTTAAAGAATAAATGCTGATATTGTTGCGTATTTCTAGTGCAACAAACACTTGACATAGCACTATCTCTCCCAGATATTACAACAAATCGTATCTATCTATCCAGATTTCTATAATCTATCTTTGTAATTTTTATAGGTAATTAAATATTATTATGATAATAAATAATGGTCTATAGATAGTCCCCTACTTACAATACTTGATTTAGTTTGACGTTACAACAGCATTGAAAAAACTGATTCATGACCATTTTTCAGCCTTATAACTGTTGCAGAATCCCATGGTCATGTGATCAAAATTAAGATGCTTGCAACAAGTTCATATTTATGATGGTTGCAATGTCCTGGGGTGATATGATTAGTTTTTGTGACCTTTTGACAAGTAAAGTTAATGGGGAAGCAAGATTCACTTAACAAACGTTACTAACTTAAACTAAAGTGATTCATAACAACTATGGCAAGAAAGATCGTAAAATGAGACAAAATTCAGTTTACAACTGTCTTGCTTAGCAACATAAATTTTGGGCTCAGTTGTGATCATAAGTCGAGGACTACCTGTAGAAACAACTGACATGCAACGGTACACAAATACCTGCATTCAGATAGATAACAGTGATCAACATGCTGCAGCTAAGCATACATAAACCTATATGTTTAATCAGATGATAGAAGAATAATAAAAAGTGCAATGCAAAATTAATGATAATGCAAGCAGTGATAATCAAGCACTAATAGTGACAACTGTGGCAGTAAGGTAGACAATGAGATATGAGAACGTTAAAACAACTTTCTAAATAAATGTTGTAATATAGTGGAAAATATAAGAAATGTATTAACATTTCCAAGAAAATACTAAATATAATTCATTTTTTAGCCTAAAAACTAACAAAGCATCCTAAACAAATCCAACAATCAGTAGCAAAACGTGAAAAACAGGAGTTATTTACAACATACAATATAAAGACTATGAAAATCACTATGAAGAACAAACAGGCAGAAGATTGGCAGAATGCATCCATGAATTGGCAGTCAGAAGACATGATAAAATAAATGTCTTTAATTTCACCAGACACAGAGAAGTTCAATCACAGTTTCAACTGGGAAGGTGTAAATATTTTAGATCAAGCCAAATCTAAGTATGCAAGAAAATTGCTAGAAACAAATTAGCAAATTAGCCATCAACAGACTGATAGAAATAGCTTCCATTTGCAAACCATTCAAAAGGAATGGTCAAAGGAAGAGCCAAATAAATTTGAGAAAGTATAAACCTTACTAGCTACTGATCATCCAGTGTTGTTGAGAGTCAGGTAATATACACATTTAAAAAATAAATACATTTCTTTCAAATACCTGAATTGACTGTTGATAAATATTTCCACTTTCTGATGAAATTCCACTGAAAACATCTATGAGGCTATTGGGATCCACTTTATCAAAGACAGCCAATTTTAATCCCCCTAAATTAAGATTGAAATAATTGAGATAATCTATGAGATTCACTAAAATATTTGCATTGTGCCTAATGTGGATCAATATTTACATTAGAGATCAGCAATGCAGGACCAGCAACAATCCAAATGTCACTTGCAGAACATCTCATTTTTGTTTTAAAAAATAATAATTAATAGTTACAATTAAAAAGATAAAAACTAGCAGAAACTAAAAAAATAAAACAATGAAAAGAAAAAATTGAAAGTGCAAAAATGAAAAAATAGAAAGCAAAAAATAAGAATATAATAAATAAAAAGGAAATATATATGAAGAAATGACTTCCCCCTTCAACAAAAGTATAAACAATTTTAGTAATTTATTGCCGCCACTTAAAATACAATAAATGATCTATTCTTCCCCTATCCAATCTTTTATTTATAAACAAATCCTTAAAGATTTGTCATTCAGTCCTTATCAGAAAAGTCCATTAGGGAGTTACTAGAGATAGCAACATATCCAGGGGTGGGTTCTACTTACCTTTACTACCAGTTCGCAATGGGGCTGTGCGCGCCCCGTTGCATGCACTGAAGTTCCTGGTGATGTCGGGGTCGGTGGGCCGAGCCTCCCACCAATTTTACTACCGGTTCTATAGAGCCAGTTCGAACTGGGGGCAACCCACCACTGAACATATCTCTTCTAACCTTGTTCAAATAAACCAACTTTATATTCTTTCCTTTTAATTTTAACATGTGTGTCGGGCTTGGTCCCTAGGTGTTATGTGAATTTCGTTGTATGGGTATACTGTGTATATACTACGTACAATGACAATAAACTTTATATATCTTGATCTTCAAATCATGTTCTAGTGCTTGATTTCTTTTTATTTTTTTATCCCTTCTTACAAAATTGTTCAAGGCTTTAACAAGCCTCTTTTGTAAATGCCATATAGGAAAATTATCCAGGTCATTCTCTTGGTTTGTTATTTGTCCCTTTTAATTATTAAGACATCAACTGATTTCTTTTGTGTCCAGTGGAGTATCTTTTTCCATATCATTCTTGCAGTCTGACATTTTTAATTCCTTTTCAGTTCAGTCTCAATTTTGTCAGTTAAAACTTATTCCTCTTTCATAATATCTTTGAAACAGAGTCTATACATAGAGGCAAACGAAAATATTCTTCAATATGTTCAATGTTACAAAAAAAATCATTTTCAATTAATAAGTCACATTTTCTTCTCTTTTAAGTGTAATAATGCTTCCCTCTAGTATCCAACCTTCAAAGTCTCATGGTTTTTTTTTTTCAAATAAAATTCAAAACAAAAGCATTTCCCCATGGAAGTATTCTTGTCACTAATTTCGAAATCTCACTTCAACATTTTATGGATTCTTAGACTATTTGTAACTTTTACTATTTATTCCAGAAGAAAAAAAAAAACCCTTAAAATTGTAATTAAATCTTCTTTCACTGAGGACTGAAGGAAACTCACATAGTGTTATAAAACATATCAATCCAAAGGTTCCCAATAGCGGAAGAGCAGTCAACAAGCAATTTCCAAAAAAAAGTATGTGAACTGAGTGTCCTTTAGAAGGCGCCAATCATGGTTTGAGTAAGATGACTATTCCCTTGTCTCCCAAAGCTCTAAATCTACAGTTTTGCAGTCTCATTGCAAGGAGCAAGTGTCTGGAGCACTTGTGGGTGATCTCAAGTCCATTCCTTGTCTGGAGAGAAATTATGAAGAGCTGGTTTACTACCTGGCTCTTCATTCTACTGCAGTTTTTGTCAATTTACCATTTCTTCTCTGGAAGTGCAGACTCTCCTTTCATTTAAATGAATAAGAAGGAATTAGATGATGTTGCCAAGAAGACTGAAGAGTAAGATTACTGAGTTTGTGCAAAGTTCGGTGATCTCAGAATATTTGGGATGATTTTTTGCATTGATAATTGGGAGGCAGAAGTCTGTTTTCGGACAAGCTTGATTTTCCCTGTGTTATACAAATAAATTATTTATTTAAACTTGAGGTGATTATGTTTAGAAAGGCTTAGATCCTTATTCCTTTCTTCACTGCTTTCTTCATAATCAAGTGAGAAGCCTGTTGTGTTGTATGTGTAGTCAGGACAATATATTTTAGAAATTATCTAAAACACAAGGGAGAGCAATGAGAATGGGAGAAGGAAGCAGAACTAACATAGTCTGGGTATTAGCACTGTGTACTTTGGATATTATTGTAATATCATTTTAGAATACCTGAAGGTAGAATACATGACATACGGTGACTATGAGGATAATATCACATTTTCTGAATCACCATTTGTTATTGCGTACCTGTCATGGCTGATAGCATTTCTAGCTCTTGTGCAGCACTTGGCCCCAAAGCAATGGTGTGAATTATTGCTCCACTAGTTTCAACTTCATTAAAGCAAACACGCACTCCTGAGTCTTCTCCATCTGTCAAGAGCACAATTTCACCCCCTTCGGTACTTTTATCTTTCGCGCTAATCACCTGTATTAAAAAATAAATAAAATAAAATATTAGCAGAACAGGGAATGCAGTACGAAACTCACGGAATGCTCTTTAAAATGAAGAAGTTGGATAAAATTCATAGAATAATTATATAAATAATTTGTAATAAAAATTACAGCACATTTCCCCAACTGCCATAAAGTAGTGCTGCATTCCTTAGGAATCATTACCTATGTACCGTGTTTTCCTGAAAATAAGACCCTGTCTTATTTTTTTTTAACCCCGAAATAAGCCCTTGGTCTTATTTTCGGGGAGGTCTTATTATTTTGGGGTGCATGGAGCAAGATGGGGCTCCTCTTGCCGTCTTACCTGATTTCCAGCTCTGTGTTTAAATATTTTTGGGGAGGGCTTATTTTTTTGGGGAGGCTTATTTTAGCGCATGCACTCAAAAGCCCGATTGGGCTTATTATCAGGGGATGTCTTATTTCGGGGAAACAAGGTAATAAAAACCAGACTAGGTACTTCCTGTGTTCTTATAAAGTCAGAAATAGAAAGAGGGGGGAGAGACAGAGGAAAAGAAAGAGAGAAATGATATTATAAATCTCAATGGAGTAATGTGCTATTAATCCTTTATCCTTCACTGTTTTTCCTCTCCCTATTCAATTGGTCTTAGAACCAAGAACATGTGTAATATTACTTTGGTTTATTCCAAAGCTCTATTCAGGTATGAATCTTTCATTTTTCTTTTTTGCAGTACATCACTGCAATTCCATTTCAGTAGTTGCCAAAACTGCCATATAAAATGTCTACCAAAGAATAAAATCCGTAAGATCTTATTATTTGTGTCACATTGATGAGAGCGGTGTTGTAGTATATGTAGTAATGTTATAAGTTTTCTTCCCTTTGAGTGGGTGTTTAATTTGCAACAAATGTAGAAAAAGGGTAGTCTTTATGTTGTATGCTATTTTCTTCAATTTGACGCACACGCACTCTCAGCCTGTTGCCATGGATGTCACTGTTGCAGAACTAGAATCATTGCAAAAAAAAAAATCTGCCATATCCATCACCAAGCAGATTAAGGAAAAACTTTTTTCTACTATGTTATTCAGTTTCTTTATTTTGTCTTCTCTTCCCTTCAATCTCACTTCCATTAATATGTTCCAAGCAGAGCAACACTACTTACCTTTACTACTGGTTTGCAACAGGGCTTCGCTCGCACATGCATGCGCTCTTCTGTGCATGCGCAGAAGCATTTTGATGATGTCAGGGTCAGTGGGCGGAGCCTCCTGCCAGTTTCACTATCGGTTCTTTAGAACCGGTGTGAACCGGGGGCAACCCACCACTGGTCCCTAACCCCCGGTCCCTGGCTGGCACTGGGCCACGACATGCCAGAAACCGGGCCATGCAAACAAGTGAAGCCCCATCCGCAGGATGCAGGCAGCACATAAAACCATGCCCCCTCCTGCGGGAAGAAAAACCTCATTCCACAGAACAGTCCCTGATGTCCAAAAGGTTGGGGGCTGCTATTCGAACATACTGCATACATTTTATGTAATGATTAATGAGGTCAATTCAAGCTAAAGAAAAGAATTTGTCAACTCTAAGGTTGAGATGGCTTCACATTTCATCTTCCATTCCTCGCAGACTGCCTTGTGGGATATTGTTTATAAGATCTGTGTTTGGAGGCATGTTCCTCTTCTCTTTATAGGAAAAAGTTCTTCTACAAGTAGCCCTCAAACTTACAACCATTTTTAGTTACTGTTGGAAGTTACAACAGCACTGAAAAAACTTGTTTATATCTGGTCCTCACACTTATAACTGTCATAGCATCCCCACGGTCAAGTGATCAAAATTTATGCACTTGGCCACCAGCATATATTTATGACAAATTGCAGCATCCAAGAGTCATCTGATCACCATTTGAGGTCTTCGCAGCTGGCTTCTGACAATCAAAGTCAATTGGAGAAACCAAATTCACTTAACAACCTCATAATTCACTTAACTTCAGTGATTTGCTTAAAATTATGGCAAACATGTCACAAAATTGGGCATGACATACTTAACTATCTTACTTACAACAGAAATGTGGTCATAAGTTGAGGACTACTTGTAGTATACCACTAAATATGAAAAGAGTACACAGAGCTGTTATTAAACGCCATTCTGATATTTTCAGCTTTTGAAACTTCACTGTAAGAAGTGCTTCAAAGTGAATCATGTGTCAGAAACTAGCCTGCCAGCTAATCCACACAACAAGAATTTCAATGCCAGTCTCTCTCTCAAAAATTAATATGGAAATCCTACTTTCTAATTGTTTTTTTAATAATTAGGAAGAGAAACTCCCACTGGATAGAACGGCATCCTTTTGCCCCTCATTTTCCACACTGATAGGAGATGATGGATCTTATTTGGGCATGAATTCCATTGGATGCTGCCCAGGATACTCCCCCAAAATAAATTCAATAAATGCAATTTAAGTTTTAAAAAATGATCAAAATGTCATCACATCACCATAAAAGAACACTGTGATAATGAGATTTGTCATTTTAAAATGTGTCTATGTGCATGTGTTAATTTCAGTAGGCATCTATCAATGCTGTGGTACCTGTGAATACTGCCAACCCAGCTTTATCAGGCTGAAAAAAAAATTACAACGATTAGATGATATAATTGCTTCGTGTTTCTCTTAAAACACCTGTATGAACTCACTATACAACATATGTCTAGGGGGGAAAAAAGAAATAAAAGTAATGGGAGTATGTTTTCTTTCACCTTAAATCCTTCGCGCACTCCAGCACAAATATTAGTCCCTCCACCAGCTGTGGTAGGCAAAAAATTCACAAGATTCTGCCGAACGTTGTCACTGTCAATCTGTTTCAAGGGAGACTGAATGGTGGCAGAACTTTGAAACGTTACAATTCCAACCCAGGAACCAATTTCAATAATTTGTAGGAGGAACACTTTTGCAGCTTCCTTGAGATTAGTAATGCGGTTATACTGCATGGAAAGGAAAAGGGATGGAAGATGAGGAAGAAGGACAAAGTTGTCAGTTGTCAATATCGCCTGAACAATCATTTCAAATGCCTTTCTTTTGGCCAAATTAATTTAAAAGCAGAAACAGCTGGCCTTTATCCAACCCTGATCTCAAAGTTCCAACAGCTTGTTCAAAATCTGTAACTAAATATTTATGTTATTTGGGAGAGACTGCTGATTAGCTGGATGAGAAAGTATGAAACTCTGAAATTGAGTATTGCTTTCCTGGCTTAAAGCGGAGAGGACTTGGCCTTTGTATAGGTAGTCCTCGACTTACAACATTTAATTCAGTGACTGTTCAAAGTTATGACGACACTGAAAAATGGGACTTATGACCGTTTTTCAGAGTTACGATCTTTGCAGCAGCCCCTTGATCATGTGATCCCCTTTTGCGACCTTCTGACAAGCAAAGTCAATGGGGAAGCCAGATTCACTTAACAATTGGGTTACTAACTTTTCTATTGGCAGTGATTCATTTAACAAGAAAGTGGCAAGAACGATTGTAAAATGGAGCAAAACTCAACAAATGTCTCACTTAACAACAGAGATTTTGGGCTCAATTTTAGTCATAAGTCGAGGACTGCCTGTACTTCTCCGACCTATATCACAGGGAATTCCCTTTTCAGTAATTGCTGTTCCTAGGGAAGCCTGGCTCTTCACTTCCTTTCCTCAAATAATCTTCTTAAGGTAGTTTCCAGCTTCCACACCGATTCCCCACACCTAAATGTTTTTCTTAAACTCCAACTCCTCAAAAATCCTTATCCAGCAGCAAAAAATGCACCGATGGTGCCAAAAGATTAAAAAAACGTAACTTGTTGCTGCCTTAATGATCGAGTAGTCAAAGGCTGACCCAGAGTTACCTTTTAAAGTATTGTTGGACAATGGTACAATAAGAAAGAAGAAAAAAAAAAAAGAAAATGCAGTGATGGAGTAATCCCAGAGAATTGCACATGCCAGTTGGAGGAGGATTTTCAAATAGTGGATGATGTTGGTGAAGATGAGCTTTCACTTGGGGATGACCAATGACCAATCATTGAAATGTTGCAAAGTTCCATGTTCCATACTGCTTTATGGACAGCAGCATACGACAAACCCTTTCCAACTGGACACTAAGTGAGTGCTGTGGGGCTTTTAGGGTAGCAGGTCAGGGCAGGAAGAGGGCATGACAAATCAGATGTGTGGATACAGCATAGACATCTTCCCCGCTCTCTAACTGTCTTACAAAACCCTGTTTCTAAGGCCTGTATAATATCTTGGATCATATCTATCCTCTTGGATAACTTTCCCCTTTTTCACAACAATTAAACAACTATAATTTACTCTACAGTTTCATAAATGCTAATGTTTATGAAAAGTGCATATTAATTAGAAGTGGTTAAACATCAGTAATTAATTAACAGCTAACTCAGCATTCCTATAAAAAATCATTTTGAATTTTTTTGTTAAAAGAATTTTCTAATGCTATACTTACACCTCCCATGCTTCCAGAGACATCAAGCACTAAACAGACAACTCTGTCACGTGTTTGCATCAAGGTGAAAGTGGGTTCAGGTGGAGGAGTATTTATTATAGACGAAGAGGCGAAGTCAGGGGAATTCATAATTACTTCCCACGTACTCTTATAGTTGCAGAATTTGTTTTGCAGATTTGGTGCTTCAATATTATGATTGCTTTCATTACAGAACATAGTAACCTAAAAATATAAAAATAAGAATTCATCAGGAGGACAAATATCGGATCGACTTAAATGCTTTGCATTAGTTATACTTACAGAAGGTAGACTTTGCATATACATTATAGATACTGGAGTGCTTTGGGATTTATCAGCTACAAATTGACATCCTGGTTCATACATCTGAATGTCATGCAGGAATTTGCAGTCTCTGTGTTGTCCTGGTCCAGTTGGAAATATGTAAATACCGGTGACACTAGCTGAACATCTAAATGATATAATAAAAATATACATAATTTACATTGAAAAATTATGACATCAATATAAAAAGAGAAATTTTGTTTCAAGTTGAGCTTGACCAGTTGTGGAGTGCTACTGGTTCACATCGGATCGGGCGAACTGGTAGTGGCGGCGGTGGGAGGCTCACCCATCCGGACGCTTCTGCGCATGCACAAGTGAACTGGTAGCAAACTAAATTGAAACCCACTACTGATCTTGACCTCTGATAACTTTCAGGGTACATTCATTTCATTTTCTTTGCAAGAGTACTCAAGTGGTTTCCTGTTGCCTTGTTCCAGGATGTTTTTCAACTTTCTAGCTTAGCCTAAAGCTTGAGTGATCTCAGTCTCCCATCCAAATCAGTAGATGTTTATATTCTGCAAGCTTGAACTTTGAAAAAGAGTATTGACAATTTTGAACATTGATATTGGAGGGACTTCTAGAGACTTCTAGGGAAGAAATGGGAAACTGAAGATGGCTTCAAGAAAAGCAGAGCTGGCCACCATGGCAAAATGAAGATCCGTGAATAGACCAACTCTTTGAAAATTCTTCTACAGACAAGAGATCACTGACCAACGGTTCAGACATCTGGTCCTTCCAAGATGAGGGTCCTTGGAGGAGTTCTGGGAGAAGTTCTGAGAGATGGTTTAACCATCTTGCTCAAATCACAGTGGACTCCTTTGAAAGGAGATTAAGTTTGCATCCTTCCTTTTTTAATCAATCCAATCTATTTAATCTAAATAATTTTGGAAATTACTTGTTAACTGCATTTCAGCTATTAGGAACTTTGGGATTCACTTGTTTTACAGCACCAGGTAAATTTCCTTCAATCCCTAGTGATAGAAAATCTTTAAACTACAAGTTTAAGAACTAAAAAAAAGTGTTTTTGAAGAAACAGCAAAACAAATGAACTAAGAGCCATATAATTTTGAAATAAGTTTTTTTGAATTAATCACAAACAAAATTTCCCATGATATGGAAAAAGATGTCACATTGGATATACCAAAAAACCCCCATTGTCTTAATAGCTTAATTGAAAGGGATATACAATTAACAAGCCAAGAGAGTGACAATAATTATTATTTGGATAATAATTGGATCCTTGATCAAGAGGCAAGTAGATAGAAAATTGATGAAGTACTAAAGTCTAGTCCCTGTAGCCTATTAGGAAGATACCTTGTTGCCTCAACTTTCTCTTCCTTAGTAACATAAAAAGGAGCTTCATAATTATATTCATCAAAGACACCCCATCTGAGATGAGCCCACTCATGAACAAAGACTCTACCTGTAAGAAAAAAGTAAAACAACTGAATTGTAACACAATAATTTAAGTTTACAATAGTCAGTAAAAATTTGGTATTATGTGTGTATGTGTGTTTAAATGCTGTTGGAACTGTCATTATTGGGGGGAATTTAATGGTGATCCCACTAAGAAAGTTTTTGGAAGGGAAGCTGCACTTAAGTCTATGTGCAACCCAGTGGTAGGTTTCAAAATTTTTTGCTACTGGTTCACACCCAGTGGTGGGCGTGGCTTAGTGGGTGTGGCATGGCTTGGCATGGCTTGGTGGGCATGGCAGGGGAAGGATGCTGTAAAATCTCCATTCCCACCCTATTTCCTCTCGATCAGCTGGGACTTGGGAGGCAGAGAATAGATGGGGGCGGGGTCAGTCAGAGGTGGTATTTACTGGTTCTCCGAACTACTCAAAATTTCCGCTACCGGTTCTCCAGAACTGGTCAGAACCTGCTGAAACCACCTCTGATGCAACTCCAAATTCATTAAGTATAGCATAGATGACTTGCTGCACAAAATTGAAAATGCCTTTTCTATCCTATCACTAAACATACAGACACCCAGCCTTCTTTTGAATCTGGCCATCCTCTGAATAGACCCAGGGTATGATAGCTTCAGGCTGGGGACTGTATTGTTCATTCTAAAATGTGAGCTTTGTTAAACTTTTGCCTGAATTTAAAAAAAGAATTTTTTATTCTTTTTTTAAAAGAAGCAACCAAGGGAGATTAGACATTTATTTTTTCATGAACTTTCTTATTTTGTTGGTTATTGTTCAGTCCCTGCCTATTGAAGGTTTCATTAGTGAGAATGAAAAAAAAAACCCAATTAAATATATTACCTCGAGATCCATAAATATCACGCAATTTGTCATTTGTCAGAAATGTTGGCGTGAAATGAATGTATCTTCCTGGTATCCCACACCCTCCAAACTGCAGAGTGTAAGGATCATCTCCAGACTTCAAGTGAGAATCAGCTACTATGATGTCGGCCTAAAATAAAATAATAATAATGGACATATTTTAAAGATCAGCGAAGAAAAAGTAGCTAATTGTTTGCTAATACAAATTTATCCCTGGTTTTAAACCGCCTCGTAGAAATTCATTTTATATTTTATTTATTTATTTCATTACACTATTCAGTATTCTTTAGCCTTGAAATTACCTATAATGAATACATCTTTTTTTAATACTCAATTGACAAGATATTACACATAGGTATACAAGCAGTCAAACTTAACTCCCACTGCATCTGAAACTTGGACCACCATAATAATAAAAGGTTTGGATGATATTCATATGATTTACTCACATTAAGTATATCAATAATTCATTTAAATAAATAGAAGAGATGGGGAACTATTGTCCCCCATAATTCCTTGCAGCCACAATTAGCAGGGGAAATATTTAGGGATGAGAACAGTTATTCTTCAGCAATATCAGCAACATCTTTGTAATACCAAGTCATTTTGTTAGACTGTAGGAAAGACCCTTCACATCACAACAAGAAACCAATTACCGTAAAACATTAATTTAGTGGACTATTACTTAGCAGACTTGAAAAAGATTGAGTAAAATTTTCATCTAGATATCATTCCCTTCTGAAAATAATAGGCAAATCTGTTACAGCCCAAATGGTTCAGATAAATCAGATAAATGTATGTTAATTTCACCTTAATAATGTCATTATAGAAGTAAAACAAATTATATTACCTGTATTGGTTTCTATAATGTTGTCAGTATATAAACGGTGAAAATTACATCATTTCCTTAATTATATTGTTATATAAGTGATATAAATAGACCCAAAGAAGCACTTTTGGATTTAGCATATCTTTGGGAATAATGGATATATCTTATATCTTCCCCCAATAGTCCATTAAATTAAGTTTAGTGTAGAAAGGTCAGGAATTATTTGTTCCCAGCAATGAGCATAATGCTCACAAGCAGGTACTTGAAGTTAATAACTTTGCTGTCATTGTTTGACTGCAAAGGTCATAGGACGTGTATGTCCAAACTTTGATTTGCCTGGGCCACATTGAGTGAAGAGGAATTGTCTTGGGCTGCACATAAAATATAGCTAATGTACTTAAAGTATATAAATAACAATAAACTTTCTTTATTGGGGGAGGGGGTATTGTGCAGTGGTGAAATCCAAATTTTTTTACTACCAGTTCTGTGGGCGTGGTGTGGCTTGGTGGGCGTGGCAGGGGACGGATATTGCAAAATCTCCATTCCCACCCCATTCTGGGGCCAGCCAGAGGTGGTATTTGCCGGTTCTCCAAACTACTCAAAATTTCCACTACTGGTTCTCCAGAACCTGTCAGAACCTGCTGGATTTCACTCCTGGTCTTGTGGGACTGTATTACTAGCGTTCCTGGGCTGCACATGATTCGTGGGGCTGTCGGTTGGACACAGGGCCTGGCATAGGGGAAGGCCGGAGGGAGAAGAGCTTCTGTCAAGGCAACAGTTGGATAAGTGAGACTTGAGCCCAGGCCAAGCCAAAGAAAATAACTTGAAAAAAATGTATCAGACATACCTCTCCCTAGTTCACACGAAGATAAAGTGAGGGTAGAGGGAAGTGCATTCAGACTTGCAAGATTCTGTTACTGTAGGTGTTAGAATAAAACTAGTCCTGACCCTAGCATTGTTTCTTAGTATGGGCCACCTTGTAGGCTGACATTGATTCAATTGCGAATTTTCTGTAAATATAGAGTTTAGATTCATTACCCCTGGTGGGTTGCCCCCGGTTCGAACTGGTTCACAAGAACCAATAGTAAAACCAGTGGGAGGCCCTGCCCACTGCCCCAGATATCATCATCAGCGATCTGCACATGTGCAGAAGCAAGGTGCGCGAGTGAAGCGAGAGCACGCGTGCGCTCCCATAGCGAACTGGTGGTAAAGATAAGTAGAACCCACCCCTGAACCCCTGTGAATGTCACAGTTATAGTATCTTAAAATCGTACATTTGGAAGGGCCTTTTTAGGCTATTAACCACTTACTCAGTGCAAGAATCTTAATAAAATCAGCATAGTTAAACTGTTATTACATTTTTTTTGTAATAATTAGTCAGAATCTGTCTTTGTATAACTTAAATCTATTATTCTCTATCCAGACCTCTGGAATGAGAAAGAGAGTGAGTGAAAAGCCCTTTATTTTCTAAATCAGTCACCTTTTTAGTATTTATAAAGTAACCTATATTCTATCTCAATTATTTTTTCTGAAGATTAAACTATCCAGCTCTTTCAGAATCCCTTGGTAGGATTCTTAAAAGGCAAATACCCTTTCAAAGCAACTGCAATTGGAGAAGGCAACAGAGTTATAAGGACAAAATCTATATTATACTTTCTGTCTCTTAAAATATCACATTTTTGAAGAATATTCTCACTTACTTTTTCGTAGGATTCTCTTATTACTCTTTTATACTCTGGTTTGGGTGTCCATGTCAATGGAATTATAATTTTTACAGACTTAAAGTAAAATCTTTGTTCTGTAGCTTTGATGAGATAATTAGATGCTTCTTTAACCATAGCCTAATAGGAACACAAAATACAAATATATTTACTTTGTTGTGGAGCTTTCAATAGTTACTGCCTAGGGTTTGTACAGGGATGAGGTTAAAATTTTTTAGCAAGGGGTTCTCTGCCCAGTTGCTGGGTAGGCATGGCCATGGTGGGTGTGGCCTAGTTGGCCTCCTGCACCACGGCTGGGGGGGGCTTTTTGCCCTCCCTGGGCTCCGGAGGCTTTCCTCGAGCCTCAGGGAGGACGAAAATGGCCTCCCCAGGCTCTGGAGGCCCTCTGGAGGCTGGAAACAGGTCCATCTCCGCCTTCCCAAACTTCTGGTAGGCCCATTTTTTGCCCTCCCCGAGCCTCCGCACGTGCCCTGCACTTACCTGCATCCAAAATGGGCCATGTGGGGACTCCTGGGATGGGTGGGCGGGTGGGGTGGGGTGGGGCCAGCCTAGAGTGGGATTTGGCGGTTCTCCGAACTGCACAGAATCTTAGCTCGAGGTTTTCCTGAACCCCTGCGAACCCCCAGCAGCCCACTCCTGGTTCTGTACATTGCATTTATTTCATTCCACTTAGCATTCTTGTGTGATCTGATATTTATTTTGGGGTTTCACATGCAGTCTCAAAAACTCTGAAAGATCAGATGATTCTACCTATACCTCAACTTCCCAGAATCTGAAAATCACAAATTATGTTCTTACATCTCTTTCTGTCCTTTCTATATTCATTTTTTTCTTGAACACTTAACAAAATCTTGACATTCAGGAAATAGCCTTATCTGCTACTGTATGTTGAGAAATTATTAAAACAAATTAAATATTTTACCTTTAAATGTGAATAAATTCCATTAAAAATAAAACTATGAAATAATTATGCATTCCTAAACTGTAAAATCACCTTGCTAAAGCTCACAATCTTGTTTAATATATCAAAAATACTTTTCTTTCACCTCATTTGTATGCATTTTCCTCACTTTTTGTATCTTTCTGATGGAGTGAATTTTGGTTCCCATAATCTCAGTGAACAGGTTCATTGGCCATATTGATTAAAAATGGTAGGACTTGTAATTCAACTTCAAAAACATCAGGCTGGGAAAGGCCAACACTAATATGATATATTGCGCCAGAGATCAAATTATTACAATTATATGATATGAAGGAGGATTGCTTCATCTCTCCTTCAAAGAGGTAAAAGGAGGGTGAGTAGTAGTTAACAATTAGCTTCATCTGAGCATGGAACACTTTTAAAATGGGACACAAAGTTCATATGATAAAGCGCAGCATTTTGGGGTTGAGCAATCAAGTTGGTTGAAACATTTATGAATTTCTTTGGAGTTTCATAAACATGAATGGTGGAACTTTATAGTAAAAGCAGGGGGTACACTTTCACATCACCAAATAGAGGAAAGCATTACAAAAAGGACAAAAGGCTGCAAGCTGGAGAGCAGGAAACTGTGAGTTCTTTGGCCTTAGACATTAAATCAACTGGATGACCAATTGGGACAGTCACTCTTTCTCAGCCCAACACATCTTACAGATGTAGGGTTATGGGGAAAATAGGAGAAGGAGGGTGTGTTGAATATGTTTGTTGCCTTGAGCTATGTGTAAAAATAATAACGGCAGGATACAATTAAATAAAATATTAGACAGAGTCAATTTGCATGATCACTAGAGAGAAATAAAAATACACGCTATAGCTACAATTTAAACAAATATATTTTAGCTAGAAAACTTGTTTATTAGTTGAGATTTGTGCCTATTCAGTCTGCTGCCTGTCAAAAAATGTCTCTTCTTATCATCAAATTGGTCTTGAATTGCCTAGTCCCTTGACACAGGAAGTTGTCCACCATAACACACACATACACACATCTTGCAATTTACCTCATTATTTACAAAAGGCCAATAGATTTTAGCACTATATATCTAGCAGAATTTTTAATGTATTATAAAGTTAATATATTCAGAAATGTCTAATTATCATACCTTTATGTTGGTAATAATTTTGGGATCTTCAGGTATCATTGGATTAATAGCAATAACAATGTCTTCAAAGCCATTATTGTTGAGGTTGATCATGGTGCCTGTTACTCCATATAGTAGCATCATTACCACCAAAATGTCCTGACTGAGTGCCATCTTTGCTGACACTACTTCCTTCACCCTCGTTGACTGAAAGGATGACACAGAAGTATTACATCTGCACTTATTTATACATGCAGTCCACTCCTGAATATTTTATAATGGGACTTTGTTCTGACGGAGTGATTCAGCTATTGATTATTTTTTTGTAAGAACTGAAGTTCCTTGTTCTGATCTTTATTCATTGTAAACATTCCTAATGAACTTATAGAACATTCTTTTGTTCTTCTATAAACATTGCAAAGTAAATGAACCTTTTAGAATATTCATCTTATAGGAAAGTAATTTGTTCACTTCATGTTTAAAAATGAACTTAACTTTTTCCCCACTTGTGAAATCAGTATTTGGATAAAAGTCATATGATGTTCTATTATTTGCATTTCTCCAAAAATTGAGTGGGGGTAGTTTTCCTGTAATAATTTTATTAAAGATTATATTTAAAAGTAAAAAATAATACAAACTGAAAAAAGAGTAGAAGGTTCAGGGGGGGAAGGAAAAAGAGAAAGAGAAAAGAAAGTAAGAAAATAATAAATATATTAAACAGTGACTGTCCTCATCAAAACAATTATAAACCTTTCATTTTCTCTAAAATGCAAGTGATTTATTCTTCTCATATCGCATCTCTTATCCCTAAACCTTTTAGGCTTAATATTCAGTCCAGATCAGCAAAAGTGCATTAAGAGTTACAAAGATAACAAGATATCTATTTTAACTTTGATCAATTGAACCATCTTTATATTCCTTCCTTTTATGGTTAATCTTGATTTTTAGACCCTTCAAATAATGTCCTAGAAAACATTGTCATTTTTTCTCTGTCCCTTTTCATAAAATTCTTCAAAGTTTAAAAAAAAATTTTTTTTCTAAATCCAATTTAGGAAAATTATCCAGTTCACACTCTTGACTTGTTATTTTATATTCCTTTAAATTATTAACACATCGGCCATTTCCTTTGTTATCCAGCATAGCATATTTTTCCATATCATTCTTGTATCCTGTCATTTTAAATCACTTTAAGATTTGTCTCAATCTTGTCAGGTAAAACTTATTTCTCTTTCATAACATCTTTAAAACATTATTTATAGAAACAGACACTCTTAAAATTAACTTCTAAGTCCATTGTTCAAAAATATATTTCAATATACCCAGTTAAAATATTTTAATTCATTCTGTATTAGTATCATCCAATTAAGTCAAAATTTAAAAAATAGAATTAAAAAAACATTTTCCCATGGGAAGAGTTTTTATAATTAATTCCAAAATCTTATTTCAAATTTATCTGGATCCTTAGTCCACTTGTAACTTTTGCTAATGCTCTTTTTCCCGTTGATTTGGGAAAAAATGTCATTAGACTTGTATTTAAAACATCTTTCACTAAGGATTGAAGGAAACTCACTCAGTGTTAGTAACATAGGTTACTTACATTTCAGTAAAGCATTGACAGAGTAGACCACAGCCTAATGTCTTGGTAAATAGAACAATGTGGGATTCACAACTGGCTAACCAACCACACATAGTGGGTAGTCCTCAGTGGAACTACATTTACATGGAGGGAAGCATGCAGTGGGATACCTCAAGATTCTGTCTTTAGCCCAGTATTTTTCAACATCTTGATAAATGATCCAGATGAAGGGATAGAAGGCGAACTCATCAAATTTGCAGGTGACAAAAAGCTGGAGGGAATAGCTAACACTTTAGATGATAGACTCAAGATTTAGAAGGACCTTGACAGACTTGAACACTGGGCCCTATCCAACAAAATAATAATAATAATAATAATAATTTTATTTCTATACTGAAATAAAGGACTCAGGGCGGTGTACAGCCTATTTAAAAACACAGACAAAACAATGATATAAAATTTAAAATAATTAAATAAGTGGCTCAAATTTAAAACCCCAATAAATTTAAATACCCCAATTTAAAACTATTGTGTTGATAGTCCGGCCTGGCGGAACAACAGGGTCTTCAATGCGCAGCGAAACACCCGGAGGTCGGAGATCTTACGAATTTCCGGGGGCAGTTCATTCCACAGGGCTGGGGCTCCCACAGAGAAGGCCCTCCCCCTGGGCATCGCCAGCCGACATAACTTGGCTGATGGCACCCTGAGGAGACCCTCTCTGTGGGAACGAACTGGTCGGTGGGAGGCTATTGGTGGCAGAAGACGGTCTCGGAGATACCCGGGTCCTATGCCATGGAGCGCTTTAAAGGTGGTAACCAACACCTTGAATCGCACCCGGAAGACCACCGGGAGCCAGTGCAGCTCGCGCAGGAGGGGTGTCACATGGGCATAACGGGTTGCGCCCATAACCACCCGCGCGGCCGCATTCTGGACCAGTTGGAGCCTCCGAGTGCTCTTCAAGGGGAGCCCCATGTAGAGAGCATTACAATAGTCCAACCGGGAAGTAACAAGGGCATGAGTGACCGTGCGCAGGGCGTCCCGATCCAGAAAGGGCTGCAACTGGCGAATCAGGCGAACCTGATAAAAGGCCCCCCTGGCCATGGCCGTCATATGCTCTTCTAAAGACAGCCGCGCATCCAGGAGGACACCCAGATTGCGAGCCCTCTCCATGGGGGGCAAAGATTCACCCCCAATAGTCAGCGATGGCACCTGCTGACTATATCGGGGCGCCGGAAGCCACAACCACTCGGTCTTGGAGGGGTTGAGTCTGAGCCTGTTCCTCCCCATCCAGACCCGCACGGCCTCCAGGCAGCGGGACATCACATCAAGGGCATCGTTGGGGTGGTCTGGGGTGGAGATGTACAGCTGAGTATCATCAGCGTACAGATGGCACTTCACCCCAAAACCACGGATGATCTCACCCAGCGGCTTCACATAAATGTTGAACAGGAGGGGCGAGAGGACCGACCCTTGCAGCACTCCCCATGCGAGACACCTCGAGGTCTGCCCCCCTCCCAACACGAACTGCGAGCGGTCGGAGAGGAAGGAGGAGAACCACCGCAAAACGGTGCCCCCTATTCCTAACCCCCTCAACCGCTGCAGCATGATACCATGGTCGATGGTATCAAAAGCCGCTGAGAGATCTAATAGGACTAGGACAGAGGAACAACCCCTGTCCCGAGCCCTCCAGAGATCATCCACCAACGCGACCAATGCCATTTCTGTGCTGTACCCCTGCCTGAAGCCCGACTGGTACGGGTCTAGATAGATAGCTTCATCCAGGTGCCGGGGAAGTTGTCGTGCCACCACGCTCTCAACAACCTTCGCCACAAAACGAAGGTTGGAGACTGGGCGATAGTTGGCTAATTCAGCCGGGTCCAGGGAAGGCTTCTTGAGGAGGGGCCTCACTACCGCCTCTTTCAAGGCAGCAGGAAAGGCACCCTCACCCAGAGAAGCACCTATAATCCCCTGGAGCCAGCCTCGTGTAACCTCCCGGGAGGCCAGTACCAACCAGGAGGGACACGGGTCCAATAAACACGTGGCGGCACTAATCTTACCCAGAACCCTGTCCACATCCTCGGGAGTCACAGGATCAAACTCCTCCCAGATAACATTCTCAAGACCTGCCCCGGTCTCCTCCCGTGGACTCATCCAATCGGAGTCCAAGCCATCCCGAATCCGAGCGACTTTATCGTGCAGGAATTGCACAAAATCCTCAGCACGACCCTGCAAGGGATCTTCCCGCACTCCCCCCCGAAGAAGGGAGTGGGTCACCCTAAACAGGGCGGCTGGGCGGTTCTCTGCAGATGCAATAAGAGCGGAAAAATGGTTAGATTTTGCCGCTTTTATCGCCACTAGGTAGGTCTTGATATAAGACCTCACCTGTGTCCGGTCGGAATCGGATTGACTAGTCCTCCAAATGCTCTCTAGGCGTCTATTGCACTAATGCAATTTAGTGATGAGAAAACTGACAAGAAAAATGAAAAGCACAGATATACAATAGGTGGTACATGGCTCAATAGTAGCCATTGTGAGAGAGATCTAGGGGTCCTGGTAGACCACCACTTAAGTATGAACCAGCAATATACTGCAGCTGCCAAAAAGGCTAATGTAGTCCTAGATTGCATGAACAGGAGATAGTTTCAAGAATAAATGAAGCAATAGTACCACTACTGGTGAGACAACACTTGGAATATTGAGTCCAATTCTGGTCACTACAATAAAAAAAAAAGAAAGAAAGAAAGAGAGAGACCAACAGAGAAGAGCAACAAAGATGATAAGGGATCTGGAGGCTAAACCCTATGATGAATGTTTGAAGGAACTAGGTATGCCTAATCTAACAAAGAGAAGAACTAGGGGTGATATGATAATTGTCTTCCAGTACTAGGGGAGCTGCCTCAGAGCAGAGAAAGTTAATTTATTTTCCAAAGCACCTGAGCACAGGACAAGATGTAAAGGGTGGAAGAACATTAAAAAGAGATCCAACTAGAACTAAGGAGAAATTTCCTGAAAGTGAGAGCAATCAGTGGAATGGCTTGCTTTCGGATTTTGTGGATGCTCCATCACTGGAAGTTTTCAAGAAGAGGTTGGACAGCCATTTGTCCAGAATTGTATTAAGACATGGAGACCGCCAAGGTTCTTTACAACCATATTATTCTATATTTTAAGAACAGCTGGCCGCAATCTGATTTAAGAGATAGTCCTGTCCCAAGTTTCACTGTTGGGAGTAACCATCTGATTTCCTATTCTGAAATCCAGTTCCTGTGCTTTCTTCTTGTATAGGAAACCTGAACTTTTTTAAAAAAATTGGTTAACGAATTGCCTAATAAAGCTTGATTGGGCTCTCTGAACTCCGGACTGAATCTTGACTATTCTTCCACGTGTCCTGTGGTAAATGAAACTTATCTTCAGAGACTCTAGTTCGTGTTACTTTGCTTCTCTGCTTAGCTTTGTTTTGCTTATCTTCATGTGTCTGTTTGACATCTGAAACAATGCCCTGATGTTACCTGAAATAGGAAGCACTCCCATTTGGGACTTTGAAATTTGAGCTGTTATATGTAATTCTGTGTATGAGTTCTTGCTTAACTTTCGAGTACTTCATTGCTGAATATTACTTTATTACTAGCATTAT